GCTTCTCGTGGAGCCTCCATCTGCTGCCTTTGCCTCAGGGATGGTAGGGTGCGGCTCCACCAATTTATCTCCCTCTCACACTCCTGGATACTCCTTAACCTTTCCACTTCCTCCTTCAGCTCTTGTAGGATTTTGGTTTGATTCCCCTCCCCCTGCTGTGAACTGATCATTAACAGTATATGATTACCACTAAGATACTCATGAAACTCCCTTCCTTTATTTTAAATTTAGGAGGTGTTTAGTCTTGGAGGGCAACATAGTAGAGCTATTGTCACCCAGGCTGGGTGAATAGTATTAAGCAACATGGTACGCATATGTAACTTGGGAATGTAGGAAGTTCTATGCATACTAGTTACTGTACTGATAACGCTAGTGACCTTTTCTGGTTGTTTTTTCTGTCTATGAATACATAATTATTTGCATACAATATTTAATATTAAGAATATGACACAACTGCTTAACTGTAGTAAGACTTATAGCTGGGGTTGATGCTGCATGCTTATTCTAGTCATTGGTGCCTAAATATCACAGTACATTTAATATATAATGTCATATACATACTGATGTGAGCATAATGTACTGCTAGTAGCTCAGCAGAATGGGAACTTTGTACTGATGAAATGTCAGTCTTAATTTTTGATTAACTTAGCTGTGGGCATTTTATGTCAAAACCAGAACTGGCCAAATACTGCAAAATGCTATGCATGATAATACTTTCATTTCTTTAATGTCTTGCAGATGTGCAAGTGGTTTTTTTTATATAGTCTTTCAGAGATGTTAGTGGCCATGTGTACTGGAAGGGATTTCATCAGATTTAACACCTTTAAGCAGTGGCTAAAAAATATAGTCAGAAAATGAGTCAGTAATTAAACTGGTCACACTGGAAAAGGATTTCTAAAGTTTGTGCTGAGCAAAGGAAGAAATGAAACTCAGCATGCAGGGTCTTTGTTCAAACTGTTTAGCATGTGTGTTTTCAATACCTGTTGGAATTGTGATTCTACTGATGAGTTGTTAAACCATCCATGGGTTGAAATATTTTTTCATAAAACGTTGTTTGGAACCTTTATGGCTGTTCACAGAGGGTTTGTGGCTGAGAAGAGGGGAACCGTGCTCAATGAAAATTGCTTGCTGGGAATACGGTGTGCCTTCACCACATCTGCTCATAATAATTGAGGAGGGTGGGGTTTTTTTTGACAGAAATAAAGGGTACGTTCCCCGGTTTGGTTGCAGTGACCAGGGCAGGGGGGGAGGTTACCGTGCTG